TACATACATACACATACATACATACACATACATACATACACATACATACATACACATACATACATACACATACATACATACACATACATACATACACATACATACATACACATACATACATACACATACATACATACACATACATACATACACATACATACATACACATACATACATACACATACATACATACACATACATACATACACATACATACATACACATACATACATACACATACATACATACACATACATACATACACATACATACATACACATACATACATACACATACATACATACACATACATACATACACATACATACATACACATACATACATACACATACATACATACACATACATACATACACATACATACATACACATACATACATACACATACATACATACACATACATACATACACATACATACATACACATACATACATACACATACATACATACACATACATACATACACATACATACATACACATACATACATACACATACATACATACACATACATACATACACATACATACATACACATACATACATACACATACATACATACACATACATACATACACATACATACATACACATACATACATACACATACATACATACACATACATACATACACATACATACATACACATACATACATACACATACATACATACACATACATACATACACATACATACATACACATACATACATACACATACATACATACACATACATACATACACATACATACATACACATACATACATACACATACATACATACACATACATACATACACATACATACATACACATACATACATACACATACATACATACACATACATACATACACATACATACATACACATACATACATACACATACATACATACACATACATACATACACATACATACATACACATACATACATACACATACATACATACACATACATACATACACATACATACATACACATACATACATACACATACATACATACACATACATACATACACATACATACATACACATACATACATACACATACATACATACACATACATACATACACATACATACATACACATACATACATACACATACATACATACACATACATACATACACATACATACATACACATACATACATACACATACATACATACACATACATACATACACATACATACATACACATACATACATACACATACATACATACACATACATACATACACATACATACATACACATACATACATACACATACATACATACACATACATACATACACATACATACATACACATACATACATACACATACATACATACACATACATACATACACATACATACATACACATACATACATACACATACATACATACACATACATACATACACATACATACATACACATACATACATACACATACATACATACACATACATACATACACATACATACATACACATACATACATACACATACATACATACACATACATACATACACATACATACATACACATACATACATACACATACATACATACACATACATACATACACATACATACATACACATACATACATACACATACATACATACACATACATACATACACATACATACATACACATACATACATACACATACATACATACACATACATACATACATTAAGGACTATCTGACAGCCAAAAGGAGCCCCTCCCAGTTGCTTCTGCCAGCCAATTTCCATCTTTTTTACCTTTGTTTTATTGTTTTTTTTTTCTTGAAATGTATAAAACAATGTCAAAACATTATTGGGATATAAAGTACTTATAATCCATTCAAAATATGACCAATTTGCATGGTGATTGTGGTGCTTCAGACCTGCAAATGCTGGCAGCCTGGAGATAACAAGGAGGCTGGGTTTCTGTAATGGTTTTTGCATAGAAAGGATACAATGGAAATAGAAACTTCCAGTATATGGCTGGTGTATTAATCCCATTCATGCTGGGGGACATCCAAGCACATCATCTGAATAAACTTGCTGATGCCAGTTATGTCTAATCACAGCATGCACCTTTTTCCTGTTGCGTAGGCGAATGCCTCACAAACCTGATCATGATTAGACAAAAGCCCAGCAGTGTATACTTAAACATTGTGGCTTTGTCTAAATTTACCCAAAATTTTACCCATTTGAATTAGAATAAAATCTTAGTTTATTATATTCATTTGCATGTGCATTTACTTAGATTTTATGAGAAAATGTAATGTATTGATGGTAAGGCATTTTAGAATTTTTTGCTCTGTAGATGTATCTGGGCCTATGTATTTGATTAGTTAGTTATTTACTTGCTTGTTTATATGTATACCTTAATTAGTTTTTTCAACATGAAAGAAGGGAAAGAAAGAAAACTATGGAAAAATTGACAAGGAAATCTTATTAAAAGATGTCAAAATACTTGCAGGTGCTTCCTCAATCCAAATGGTGCTGTTGTGCTCAAACTTGTCCGAGACGTGTTTGCCCTGATGCTGCGCTTCCGAGGCCAGCTGCTGTCTCACCAGTGGCACACCGATAGCGCGTCCGGGATCACTGAACATCCGGGCTTTGCTGCTCTTCAGTCTACCTTCAAGGAATTCCAGAAACATGCAACATTCCTCCATAAACGTAAGTTATTTACTCTTTGGTCCTCTTGCTGTTCACAGATGATTTGACAAGAACACTTAAATCTGATTGTAACGATTACAGTCTTAGAGTATGTTTCGTGGAAATTGTTTCTGTGAATTGATTGGAATAAGAAATTCTGTTTGTGATGCTGTTATTACAGGTATTTGTATACTGTGCATGTGTGCGTGTAGGGGGGGAGGGGGAGATAGAGAGTGTGTGCATGTGTGCGTGTGTACGTGTGTGTGTGTGTGTGTGTGTGTGTGTGTACATGTGTGTGTGTGTGTGTACATGTGTGTGTGTGTACATGTGTGTGTGTGTGTACATGTGTGTGTGTGTGTGTGTGTGTGTGTGTGTGTGTGTGTGTGTGTGTGTGTGTGTGTGTGTGTGTGTGTGTGTGTGTGTGTGTGTGTGAGCGTATGTGTGTTTGTGGTTGTGTGTGAGTGCGTGTGTTTACATGTGTGCGTGTGTGTGTTTGTGGCTGTGTGTGTGTGTGTGTGTGTGTGTGTGCGTGTGTGTGTGCATGTTTGTGTGTGTGTGTGTGCGTGTGCATGTGTGTGTTTGTGGCTGTGTGTGTGTGTGTGTGTGTGTGCATGTTTGTGTGTATGTGTGTGTGTGTGTGTGTGTGTGTGTGTGTGTGTGTGTGTGTGTGTGTGTGTGTGTGTACATGTGTGTGTCAGCCTGTTGGTCTGTCTGTCTGTGTCTCTGCACCTTTTTGTCACTGTCTGTGGGTAGATGGGTGAGTAGGTGTGGATGAATATAAACCTAAACTTATAAAAAATGTATATGTATTTTCCTTCACTGTGTAAAAGTTAAAATTCAATCTGCTCTACATTGAAAGGATCAGTGAATGCCTTTGCGTGAATATCTTTGCGAGTGTTACACATTAAAGTCTTGTAAAATTGTAAGGGTATTTATGTACCTCCATCAGTATCTTGGTTAAATTCTGATGAATATGAATATACCACATTATTATCATCATGTTAAGCCATTGGTTTTACAGCTTATAAAGTTAGGCATGGTATGTGCAACTGTTCTCATGGTTTTGCAGGGAAAGGTAAGAACATGTAGGCTTTTCTTACAGAAGGTAAACAGATGATATTACATCATCCCATGTAGGCTGTCACGAGAAAATTAAGAGAATATTTCCATTTTTCTAGTGTTTCATCAAGTGTGATGGTAAAAATGAGATGACACTTAATGTTGGAGTTTCAAGAAAAAAGGGGAATTGCCTGAAAAGTATCAGAAAGTGAAGAAATTTAAATGTACCCTATAGAACTAAATTTATTCTAAGTGACTATATTTCTAGAACATGTATGTGGTGGTACAAAATGTCAAGCCTTCACCTCCATTGTTTATCCTCATTATTTATTTTTCTGGCTTATTGTACTGATAATTACAGATTAGTAAGATAATCAGATTGGTCAAAGTTGTAAAGCGTAGAAAAGGTTCTCCATTCTTCAAGCAGATGTACCGCCTTCTGTTCAACTCTGTGCATTTGTCCCTTTTGATTACAAATTTTCCGTCTGTGTTTACCTTGAACCTTCTTTAGATTATTTGTAGTTAGCCTGTTGTTCCAAGACTTTCTCTGTGTTTGTTTACATTTACTCTCATTCTATGTTCAGTTGATGCACTTTTTATCCAGACAAAGATGCAGTTATTCTTGAAGTTTGATTGACAGGTTGCTAGGCTGATGGTAATTATTCAGTGATGGACAGGCTGGTGATCATAGTTATTGGATACCTCACTGATTGGTAATAAGGATTATTGGATAGTTGACAGACTGGTGATAATAATTATTGGGTAATTGACAGATTGCCATTAATTATAGGATAACTGATGGGTTAGTAAGAACAGTTTTTGATAACAGACATGGCAGTCATGACAGTTTTTAATAACCTAAATAATAACGTATTTAATAATAAGTGATGATAATTGTTTGATAATTGACATAGTCGTGGTCAACATTATTAACCCTTTGCTGATGGGGATGGCAAGTACGTACATGCCATGCCCACTGTGAGTCGACTTGTTTGGTTGTTTTTACACATAGATGGCTACACTTGTACTAAGTCACCAGTGAGCCAGTTACGAGTACTGCCTGTCTCGCCCGCTCACCCTTTTCATCGATTTACGAAAATATTTAACGTTAACCTAATTTGCTGTTAAAACAACACCATCTGTATTTATAGCACTAGTAAGAATACACCAATTCAAAGAAAGGTGAAATCAGGACTAGCAGAGCCATCTATGTACAGAGATATTTCACAAAAATATAAAAAATGAGTACTGCATTTTCTCCATTTTTTATTCATTTTCCCCGGCAGCAATGGGTTAAAAATATATGGTAAGACATTTTACATTCAGCTAGTCATCACCAGCCTGTGAAGTGCATCTTTGCCTTGATAATAAGGATTAAAAAGAGTAGTTCAATGTTCAATGCCACTTTTATATTTCATAAAACAGAAGGGACTTCTCTCTCTCTCCCTCCCTCCCTCCCTCTCCTCTCAAGGGATAACCTACAAAATTTAGAAATGAAGATTTTATTTGTAAAGGCTTATTTAGTAATATATACCTTTGACTTGTTCCATTCCTTACTTGTTCTTGTTCCTCAGTATGTCCCAATTTGTAGATTATTCTGTTTTGTCTTTATTGCTGATATATATTTCTTCCTTTCTTACCCTATTTCCTCATAAATGTACTGTAGTTTATAACTAGATTGCTTAGATGTTAAAGAGTATTATTTTATCTCATTAATGTACATTGGGAAAAAGGGACATTTCTCAAGTGTTTAGCCTGTTTACTTGAAAAAAAAAAGAAAAAGAAAAGAAAAAGTGTCTCAAAGGTTTTTCATCATGATTGTCTTGTACCATTCTCTGTCAATCATTTAGATATCATTTTTGTATTTTTCCAATCCTTGAAGTGCTTCAGGAAGAGGAAAGTAAACTGCAAGAGGTAAAAACAGTTTATCTTTTTGGTCACTTTGCTTGCTCGCGAATGGCCTAATTAAATCTAAAATGCACTGAATAGTGAGTGCTGCTGGAATAGATTCAGGTAGCAGTAAACAATAATAATAATCAGACATCTATCACTGAATAGGCTAGTTATCTGTTAAAAAATAGATCAGCACTATATGTACATTTTTCTTCCCCCTTTTTGACTATGTGAAATTTTATTGGTTTCATCTATTGAGAAGTGAATGTTATCCACATGCATATACTGCTGTGCACTCGCACTCCTTTTTGCATAAACATAATTATGCATACATATTTATATGCCGGTTTTCATATAATCAGAAATGCAGTTGGACAATCATTTCAGACTTGAGTCCCATGTAGAGTGCATTGTGACATGTCTCTATACCATATCTAATATGGATATTTTATATACTGGCTGGAGAGATCATAGGTAGATCTGCCATGGCATCCTGCAGAAGTAGTCAAGAGCTAATTGTGAGCATGTGTGGGTGTCGAAGATAGCATATCCTGTTTAGTATATGAAGGTGTTAGAAAATAATTTTGAGGAGGAACTGCTGGTATTCATCATGAGGAAGATGCATTCACCATAACTATATTTAGCATTATAGAAGAATGTAATTTTAGTCTTGAATCCACAGCAATGCTATTGTCATGTTGCCTGAAACTTGCATGGTGCATATATAATTTTTGAAGAAATTATCATGAAAAAAAAAAAGAAAAATAATATAGATTAAAAGTAATGTAAAGCTATGGAGCATGTAACATATCAATTTTGTTAAAGGATGCATGATTTCTTGATAAGTTGATCCATTTTTGTCATATGCTGCATGATCTTCCATTTTTGTTTTGTTTAGATTTTTGGCTATATGAATGCATCCACACTTTGGTAAGTGGTATTTAGCAGAAAGTTTATTTTTGCTTCATGTCCACATATTACTTTACAAACTCACGGTAAAATTCCTTGCTTCTGAAACAGTCTAGAAGGCTTTATGAAAATGAAAAAATATTATACAAAATAGTAATATTACCCTTTAATCTCTTTTCAGTGTTAGTCAGAGTAGCAGAGCACAGCAAAATGGACTACATCAAGGACTTGGTTAATCGGCTGGACTTCAACGATTACTATTCCACCGTCGCCAGGGTCTCCGTTCCCTCTCTTCTCAAGTGATAAATGCAGCTAATCCTCTCGACATGCCGATATAGAATCCAAATCACATTTACAGCTCCACTTAAGTGAATTGTTTACATTAGCCAAAGCCTACATTCTTTTCATCAGTAAGGGACTTTGAATTTTTAGAAACATTTCTTGAAGATCCGCCATCCCTTTTAATTTTTTTCCTTTACTTAAATTTTTATTTATTTAATTTCTTTATCATACATCCATGTAGTAATTACCTTCAGCTGAAAATATTTGTGTCCTAAATCTCAAATTTATCATAATAGCTTTGCACACTAATAGGCCTAATCTAGCTAAATAGCAGTATTACATAAGAGAAATATTCAAGAAATATTCATGTTACCCATATATACTAAATGAAGTAAATTAGATTCAAGCCCTTCATGTCAGACCTTTACTTGTGTCAGTATTTATTTGCAATAGTAATTTGAAAATAATTTACTTGGAAAACAAGATCTTGGACTCTTACATTCAGATTTTATTTTTTTTAATTATATTTTTTCTCTTGGAAGATGTTTTGTGATATCTATTAAATTTTTTTTTTTTTTTTTTTTTTTTTTTTTTTTTTTTTTGTCTTCGATTAGTAACATTGTTATGGTAATAGTTGTATATTTCATCAATCTGTTACCTACTAATTATTGAATACTATATTACATTCTAAAGAATAAATGGAATTCCAAATATTTATGCATTCCAAATATATAAATGTTTAATATGCTTACTTGTTTTTTGCTTTCTTCCATTTTCTATTCCTGATGTCAAGTAAAATGATGTTTGTAATGAGTTTAATCTGAACCTGCTATGAAACTTATTAAGTAGTTAACTATAATACTAGTATATGCATAAAATTGAAAATATTGAGAGGTATGAATAACAATGATTCTCAGATGAAATGAATGTATTCTATAAGAATGTTGAACACAATTTTATAATTAGAAAACAGAAGTTAGTCAAGATGAAAATGGAGAAAAAAAAAAAAAAAATCTTGCAAATGGTTTGTCATTCCATAAAAATTTTCCCTTCTTTTTGTATACAAATTTCAGTCAGTTTCTTACAATCTTCATGAAACTACATATTTATATATATAGCCTTCTACACTTCTGCAGGAAGCTCCAACTAATATCAATGCAGCGTACATTCTTCTTTGAGTATCTTGTGTCATACTGTAATCCCATGCAAATATACCAAAAAGTGCCAAGAAAAGTATGACATCTTTTTGAAACTGGATTAGTATGCATAATGTATACATGAATTTTTTATTGGACATTTACAACAAAAAACAACTTAAGTCTCCAAACACCTCACCTTTAAATATATAGTGGACCCACTTTCTCAAATTACAACGCTCCAAAATTCCACTTCACCACTTTCATAACAAGGAGGTAAAAAATTATTCATTAACAAATAATAATGAATAAATAAAATTTAAACAAAAATAACAATAATAATTTTTAATTGACATTATATGAAAAGGTGTAATACTACCACAGATTGTTTATTAGTATTTCATATCAGAGATGAAGTTATACACAGACAATGAACTTAGAAATATATATCATCATAAGCATACTTCATCGTACAAACTGCTAAATACTTCCCATTAGAAGTGACACTGGAGGGAACATCTCAACCAATTATTTACTCTCATTAATCACAATACAAATCAAGCCATTCATGCACGTCAGTAAAATATAGTTATTTTACTACTGGTACTATTACAACATTTATAAAGCGTTGTTTATACCACTGCGCTCCTCTACTTCCACAGCTGTTGTCACAAGTTGTTACACAGATACACCTGGAGGATAATAACATTGTACATAATGCCTGTTGACAAAGCAGTAATCAACCACAAAGCTGAGATTTACAAGATCCAAACAAGAAAAGGATGCAAACTAACATAGTTTATGATATAAAGAAAACGTGTTGCCGAACCAGAAACGAGGTTCCCGCGCACAATTTAAAATTACGAACCGACGAAATTATGGCCAACATCCCGCTGCTATTTCTGGGCCTTCTTGGCACGGGGCTTAGGCTTGTACTTGGTCCTGATGGAGTCGTTGTATCCCTCCCTGTTGCGGCCGATCTCAATGGCGAAGAACTGGATGCGGGTCACAAGGATAGTATTTTCCTCCGAGTAGTCTAGCTGGGAGTCGATGCGGACGAGGGTGGCAAAGCTGTAGTCCTCGATCTCGTGCTCAAATTCCTTGCAGAAGGGTCTCCATTTCTGAGAGAGACATATGAATTTTATTTATTTATTTTTCATTCATCATATTTTAGTTTTGAGTTTTGAATACTTTTTTTCCAATTTTTCATAAATATTACATTATACACTTCCTTTTACCCACTTTTTCAAAAAATAAATGTTTACATTCTTTGTAGAGAGGGGGGTTGTGTTTCCTCATGGATAGAACTAATACAATATCCTAACTTGGAAGAAGGAAAAAGAAAAGAAAAGAAAAGAAAAAAAAAAATTATCAGTCAAATTTCTATTTATATTTTATTACTGTTTTATCTGATCATTCACCTTAACTAACTCCATTCCAACTGAAATTATCTTATATATACCTGGTTTAAGCCAGAAGTGGCTTAAACCAGGTATATATACACATCATATTTCATGTTGTGAAAACCTGACTAGAACCTCTTGGCAATGGACAACACCTCTCACCTTGCAACTATGCTACTCTGAAATTACATGAAAATGCTGCAATCATATGGTGAAAATACAAAGCCTGTAGGCTAAAGATGTAATGATCTCTGACCTAATCCAAATCCAAATGCTAGAAGCCCCTAATAATCCCTCAGCTGTTTGGTTCGTGGTCTCCGTTTTTGGACTTTAGAATCCTAAATCAAGACAGATGGCATGAGGTCTCCATGAGCTCTCATTTAGGGGCCTCATGTCTTGGTTACTATTGTTCAGTCTTTTTGCCTAATAGCTACCTGGACGTTTTGAGAGATCCATCCAATCACCACAGACTCGATCATTTTATAAAATCTGGTCCACCTTCTTTAGTATGTATAATCAGCTACTGAATCTCCATATATAAAAGAAATCTTATATCTCCTTACTAAAAGAAAGAAAAGAAAAGAAAAGAGAGGAAAAAAAGTGTATATCTATTGTCTTTTACAACTGCTGAATGCCTCCTAA